CACTGATGAAAGGGTCAACAGTAGTTTCCAGCATATTCAAATATAGTTCCCTTGTTGAATTTTGATCAATGAATAGAGGTCCTACAATATGGTTTTCCAATATTCTTGCCCAAACGTTAATTTTTTTCTGAATATTGGGTATGTGTTTCCCGGAAATCGTGAGGGTTGATGTCACTCCAATAACAGCAAATGTGTCTGTGAACATAGCCGTTTGAAAAAATGTACATTCGTCACTAAAACAAATATTGTGGAGATAGGTAGGATGCCTTGCAATGGTTTCTGTCATGATTTCGCAGAATTCTGTTTTTCGATCAGGGTCATCTTCAGTTAATTGGTGTACCATTTTAATTCTGTATGGATGATACCTATTCCACTTCCAAAGTCTCCACAGTAAAAGGAGCAACCTCACAAACATTCGAGACGGAATAAGTAGGCTATTCAGGATTTACTACCATCTCACCAATTATTTGCACTTGCCGTTCTTCCGGAATGGACGGATGACCTGAGGGCATTTTGTTATGTACACTACCGGTCACTGAGGATACACTACATGTCTATTTTCCACGATATTTCTTTATTGTTGACTAGTTTCAGCTATTACACCATTTTCAAAACTAACTGATTACATTTAAATCTGAGTAATTTAAACCTAAGTTGCCTATCCTATCATAAATAATTTGGTACCTACATTTTGTATACCTGTTATGTATGAACATAACAAAACAAAGCTTTTGATATAATGTAGGTTTTGGGAAGTGGATTATAGGTTCAGGAGAGGATTATTATTTAGATCTAGTTGTTCGTTGAGGATAATAGAATTGGGATTTTTCTTTGACCTGTTTATTTCCATAGATTCCAACAGATTCATAATTTTCCTTTTTTCGCATGTGTGGAGGATCTTTGAATTATCTTCATCTATTTTATGTTTCGAATTTTGAAGATGTTCGTACATGATTTTTTATCCGAAATGACATGTTCATGGTACTTTGTATCAAAATTTCTACCAGTTTGGCTTGTATATATGGCGGGGCATTCACCACATTCTAGTCAGAAATTGTCTGCATTCAGGTCAATGATACATAGGGGTCTCACAATGCCCCTTTCTGGTCACAACCTCCGAAGTGAAATCGCAATCATTAAACAAATAGCAGTTAGTAACAAAATACCTACCACTCTAGTTAACAACATTATAATGAAATATCAACAAAAATCAATAATGAAAGAACTATATTCAATTTCCACAAGACCAGGTAGAATCTCCGAGAATATTAAAAAAATTTTCTCAAAATTCAATCTAAAACCATCCTACACATCCAACGGATTTTAGAAAACATATTATTCAATGCCAAACCTAAATCAGACAAAGGGAAGATATTTGGTATATATCGACTAGAATGTGGTGATTGCCCTGCCATATACAGGCCAAACTGGTAGAAATTTTGATACAAGGTACCATGAACATGAACATGAACATTCGGATAAAAAATCATTAATGCACGAACATCTTCAAAATTCGAAACATAAAATAGGTAAAGATAATTTAAAGATCATTCACACATGCGAGAAAGGGAAAATGATTAATCTGTTGGAATCTATGGGAATGAACAGGTCAAAGGAAAATCCCAATTCTATTATCCTCAACTGAAAACTTGATCCAAATAATAGTCCTCTCCTGAACCTATAATCCACTTCCCAAAACCTACATTATATCAAAAGCTTTGTTATGTTCATGGATATTACAGGTATACAAAATGTAGGAACCATATTATTTATGATAGAATAGGCAACATAGGTATAAATTACTCAGATTTAAATGTAATCAGTCAGTTTTGAAAATGGTGTAATAGCCGAAACCAGTCAACAATAAAGAAATATCGTGGAAAATAGACAAAAGTGTGTTTTTGTAGTGTATACTCAGTGAACATGAATTTCCACAAAATGAATAAGTCTTTAATCAAAGAAGTACACTACCGGTAGTTGTGAATTTTGATACAAGTTCCCTCAAATATTTTCTACAGATAGGACGATTCGGAAAAGTTATGCGTCGCACCGTAAATAAAAATCGCTTCAATTTTTCCTTCCAATGGAAGAAAATTGACCATTTTAAACATTGTTGATAAGGTACCTTTTTACTAGTAAAACCGAAAACTAAATGAGAATATTCTAACTGAACAATGATGTTCCTTGTAGTACTGACATTTTTTGACGTTTTCATAAACAAAAAATAACTCAACAAACCTTATCGGGTTGTTGGAATTGAGATATGACAGATAAAAAAGAAAATTTCTAGAAATATCGATATTAATGTGTTTGTCTTCAGGAAATTATTAAATGTTCCGCCATTTTGCAGCAGGTGAAGATATTAACTTCATATTCTAGAAATTAGACAATGGAAGTCCGAACTGATGAAATACACCACGAAACATTGTCAACCTCTTTCAAACATACAGGGTGTTCAATAAAATGCGGCAAAAAATCAAAGGATTATTCCTTGGACTATTCCAAGGAACGAAAAAGAATTTCGACAATAACAATTTATTAACAAAAATTACATGTATTGTTTTTCAATCTACAAGAACTGTTGAAAATGACTACCTCGTGCTCACATGCAAGAATCCAATCTCATCGACTCCCGAACTCTTTCAAAAACACCAGGATCGTTTCTGATTGCGTTACACCCAGCAATTATTCGGTTTCTCAAATCTTTCATATCCTCCACTGGAGCAGTATAAACTAATGACTTCAGGTGGCCCCATAGAAAATAATCCAGGGAGTTTAATTCTGGTGATCGAGCAGGCCATAAGTGAGGTCCACCTCGACCAATCCAGCGATCTCTGTATGTTACTGTTGAAAACTCTCGAGCCTATATGGTAAAATGCGCTGGTGCATAAATCACATTGCATTGTTTGTAGCTGATGGTACATCCTCCAGAAAGTGAGGTAGCGTGCGGTATACCTCGCCGGTAAGTCTTTCTGGCAGAAATCTGAACTGATGTTGAAAACGATCTTCAAGCACCTCATGTGGATTTTATTCAGCTTGAACATGGTTATTGTGGAAATTTTTCTAGGCATTTCTTGAGAAACTGGCTGGTTAGATTTTTACTTACTTGGTAGGTCCAGTTTAGTACGCTATACTTCCATTTCGGCTACGTCGATAATTTTAAAATTACCAAAATTGTTATTGTCGAAATTGTTTTGCCCCGTATCTTCGAAACAAAGCGTCCTATCAAAAATGATCAAAAGACAAAATATCCTTAGAATAGTCCAAGGAATTTTTTGACGCATAGTCAATAAACACCCTGTATATGGGCACGAGAATGAAACTTTTTTTATACGTCAAAAATTAATGATGTTTTGGGAATGACATCATGATTAGGGTTTCACTTATAGCGCCGGCGGCACCAAGAGTTATAGATTTCACTGCTGCCGGCATAATTTCTGGTTGAAGAAAAAAAATAGTGTGTTTCATTTCGAAAAAAAGAGTTTCATGTATTTCGCATGCTTCCCAAACGAAACATGACTTTTTGTCATGTGATGGAATTAACCGATAGCTCTATGAGGCTAGCATGGCGAATCCAGCAAAATTGCAAAAAAATATATCAATTTGTAGCTGAATAGTTGCTAATTAGTTGCCAAAACAACGATTTTGTAGCTCGTGCCGATCCCTGAAAATCGCAAATAATGGTATCGTGATATAAAGGTAGCAAGGTAACTCAAAATTATATACTTTTCCTTTGATCTTTACAGAAGATTTAGTTACTATCTATTTAGTTGCTAAGCCTTAGATATAGCGAAAAAATGTCTAATATTTTTTTTTAAATTTTTTCTGATCTGGCTATCTTGGAACTGGTTTTTCCTGGAATTGAA